ACCTTGACTCCTCTTCTCCTTACTGTGGCCAAACAGCTCAGTCCTTGTCTCATCAGTCCGTTGAATTTTTCTTTGTAGGACATTTAATTTGTCCATGTGGACATTTCAAGCTTCTTTCTTGGCCAGCACCCTTTCAACTTTTGGTCTGTACATCAAACTGTACACGTTCATATGTCCATCTTGGACATCTCGGTGAAGAGAAACTCAGTGTTTAGTCAATCGTGGTCACGAAGACCTCATCAGGTTAAGACACTCTAGAACATCCAGAAACACCCATTAATCGATTCAGGTGAATATATAGATATTTTTAAGCCCGTTTGTAGGAGAGATTTTTCAGATCACTTGGGTAAGCGACAGATGTCATTTTGAGTGGAATCTTCAATTTGGTGACAAACAAATAATTTTCCGGAGCGCTGACTTGTTTCCATGGCGACAGGAATAATAATTTTAATTTGGAACATGACTGTGTGAATTTGATAATGAAATGCTCAGTGTCAACCTGGTGCTGAAGAAGAGACGGCGGACTCGTTCGGGTTTTACTCACGGCGTTGTTTTTGTTGAATCAGTATTAAAGATTCAAACATACTTTTTCCTGAAGCTAGTCTTCACCCAAACCCTCATCTTAAAGTCCTGATGTTGTTGTACATTTCATGGATTTTGTACTTCTATGGAAGTATTGCTCTTAGAAACAGTAGATTCTAAAACTCTTCTTTATTGGCTTCAAGTTTTCTTTTGCATAGGTGAGAAGAGCTATGGAAACACCTATCCCGCCTCCACTCCCAGCCTCAACAAAAAATAATGACCCGTCCCTTTCACGGTGGCACTGATGTACTATTTGGAGCAGCAAGTTGCTTAGCCCAGCAGAATCATAGCTCCTGGAAACATAAATCAAATCCCAGCCTGGTGAAATGATTGGTTTGCAGTGCTGCACCGAGCAAGACTTCGGAGCAACACAATGCGAGAAAATGACAGAAGACCAGAGCTCCACGATGACTGTGTGTGTGTGTGCACATTCATCGTGCATGCAAACGTGGGGATATTTGCACATTCACACACATACATCATGGGAACAGAGTCGGGATGGAGTTCAGTGTGTTTGCGCTTCCCTAAGAAAAGCAGCGCAGTGGGCTTGGTTCCTGCTGGGGAGCTATAAATAACTTTGTGGTGACAGCAAGACTTAGAGGCTAATGTGAGAGGGAGCATCTTCCAGAGATGTCCATGCTGATTATTTTAAATTTGTACAGTTTGTCTGCAGTGGCAAAACCTGGCTGGAGCTCTTGGACGTCCATTAAAGGAGACGCATCACCCCCGTTGTCCACAGGATGAATGGATCTTTGGAAACTGTATTGAAATATCTAATGAGATACATTCAGTCTAATAGTTCACAGGACAGTCCAGTCAACTTTCAAGAGATGTTTTAATAGTTATCAATAGTTAGTGCCTTCAGCCGTCATAGAACAGGGAGTGTGGAGAAAGGGGCAGGTCTTTGTCCAAGCTAGACTAATAGCTAGTCAAATGAGTGCAGTTTTTAATAATTTTTCAGATTTATAAAACCACTCCTTTTCAAACAGGACATACTGGTTGGAAAGGACGCTACAATTGCTAAGACTTTTTCTTCAGTTATTCACCGTTTCCTCAAACAACGTCAATGTTACCATGCAAGTGTATGCAGTGTGGCGTATATATGCAGATGGTGCCGAAGCAGCTGACTGTATCAGTCCTCCATGAGTTGAGTAAACCTTTGGACTGACTAGACTTGTAGAGCAAGTGGACTTCAAATATGGGGGCCAATATTATAGGCAGAAACATGGGTGTGCTATGGGGTCTCCAGTTTCTCCTATTGTTGCCAACCTGTACATGGAGGAGGTAGAAAAGAGAGCCTTGATATCCTTTTCAGGGACACCACCAAGTCATTGGTTCAGGTATGTTGATGACACCTGGGTTAAAATTAAATCTCAGGAAGTCCAACATTTCACTGATCACATCAACTCTGTGGATAAATACATCAAGTTCACACGAGAAGATGTAAAAAATGGCAGGTAGGCTTTCTTGGACTGTGAGGTTTCAGTCTCTGATAGAGGACATTTGCAAACTGAGGTGTACCGCAAACCCACCCACACAGACCAGTATTTGCAGTTTGACTCCCATCACCCTTTGGAGCACAAGTTAGGAGTCATCAGGACTCTGTACCACAGAGCAGACAGCGTCCCCAGTAACTCAGGAGCCAGGCAGAAGGAGAAAAAACCACACAAGACAGGCTCTAGAGCAATGTGGATATCCTAACTGGGCCTTCCTGAAAGCAGAGAAGAAACCCAAACAGGACTCCAGTCAGCCATCAGGTGAAAAGGAGGAACCCAGACCAGTGGTCATTCCATATGTTGCGGGAGTATCAGAGAAACTGAGACGTTTATTTTCTAAACATAACGTCCCAGTGGCTTTTAAACCCCAAAATACATTACGGCAAAGACTGGTTCATCCCAAAGATCCAGTCCCGCAGCACAAACAGAGTAATATTGTTTATGCTGTTCAGTGTCAGGAGGGCTGTGATCAGTCTTACATCGGGGAAACTAAACAGCCACTGGCCAAAAGGATGGCCCAGCACAGAAGATCAACATCATCAGGCCAGGACTCTGCGGTCTTCACTCATCTCCAGGCCAGCGGTCACTCTTTCAGGGATGAAGATGTTCACATCCTGGACAGAGAGGAACGATGGTTTGAGAGAGGAGTAAAGGAGGCCATCTTTGTGAAAAGAAATTGTCCATCATTAAACAGGGGTGGAGGCCTCCGGGTTCAACTGTCCCCCTCTTACAATGCTGTGATTGCTAGTATCACTCGGCCCCCTGTGAATAGTAAACAGCCATCAGGTGCTAATGATCCATTGTTAGGCTGATGGTCCTTCTTGACCATGTGAACAGCTGGTTTGGCTGTCAGCAGCAAACTGGTTGATCCACTGCTAGAGGGTGTTAAGCCTCCAGTCAGGGCCGGATTTAGGAGGATGGGGGCCCCTGGGCTGGAGTCAGGATGGGGGCCCATGGGCTGGAGTCAATACTGTATATATATATATATATATATATAGACCAAGGTTTTTACAGAGAACATCTTGAAAAATATGAAGAACAAAATACAGATTTCCATTTATTAATGACACTTCTGCATTTATCTTATTTAGAGGAACTAGAACCACAAACACTGTTGTCTGCCATTGTAAAATAATATTCCCTGACGCTCCTCCCCAATGCGTAAGATGCGTCAAAAGTGGACCAATAACAAGCAAGCATTCAAGATGGATGTTTTCCAGAACAAATTGGAACATTTTTCATTGGTGCTGTCAAAATCATCATAGTCATTGATTAAATTCTGACACTATCCATTCACAAAAACATAAAACATCCTTCGGGGCCCCTGAAATGCTGGGGCCCCGGGCTGCAGCCCCTGTAAGCCCCTGCTAAATTCCGGCCCAGCCTCCAGTATACTGCCGCGTACGTCCGTTCACGCGTACATACGCGTGTACTGTACGCAGAGTGTTCAGTCATTATACTCCAGCGTACACCCTGAACAGCTGCAGAGCAGCTTCACAGTCAAGGGGCGTTTACCTTCAGGACAAATTGAGGTCGCTGATTGGTCGCCTACTGGATTGATTGACAGGTCGGAAAAAAGGAAAAAAAAGCGAGCGCTGGCAGCCTCAGACGCAGCGGTGTTCTGTGTTTATATGTTGTTCATAAAAAGATCTAAAAAAAAAAAAAAACAGAGCGCTGGCTCTACAGCCCACACATCAAACCAGCCCACCAGGAAATCTCCAGACCCTCCCGCAGCCACGCTGGACCTGAGTTTATTAGCTCGTGACAAATTCCTTCATTTGTCACCATTTCAGTCATGGCATCAACGGAGGAGGAAGAGATCACTGTCTCTTGGCAAAAAAACAAAAGAAAAGGCCAGATCAGGGATGAAGAAGGGGAATTTAATACATTGCTGTTGCATACAAAACAGTCCGTCGCTGGGCAGTTTATTGTGCGACACCGCGTACGCGTATGCTGTCGTAAAAATTTGAGCTTTGCACAGAGGGTATGCTGGGGGGTACGCTCGTACCTCTGCGCACGTATGTGCGTACCTCTGTGTATAGATGTACGTGGCAGTATACTGGGGGCTTTATTTATAAGACTGAGCTGAATACAGCACCTCAGACTGAGGAAGTCTTTCGGATGAAAGACGAAATGTTTGTACAACTTTTTAGTTGTTGCTTTGTTGGTTTTTTATGTCCAGAGGACCAGATTTAACTTTTTTAGATTTTTCTACCTGGATTATTGAGCATGCGTCAGGATAAGTGGACTGATGCATTCAATAGCTTTAGTAGCATTGGTATAAAAGCAATTATTTATACTCTGTGCACATACATTTGCAACACAGACGTTGGTGAGCCAACAGTGAAGGTAGTAGTGTTTGCTAATGATTTTCAGTTGGTCGGTTGTTCTACTTGTGCTTGTTCCATTCTGTATAAATACAACATTGTCTTCATTGTTATCTGGACATTCTATTGTCTTGGTTTCCCCCAAAATACTGGCGATTATAAAATTGAACTTGAGATGAATTAATGGTTGCTGTGTTCTCACTGGAGCCAACAGCACAGGGTCGACTTGGGCCATGTTGGGATATCTGTCGTCTTTTAGCTCCAGAGGCTTTTCTTTTATGTACTTCTTGACCGTTTGACCCTCATTTCTCGTCCAGGCCTTTTCCCACCCATCAGGGACAGGGTATTTGAATGTCAAAGAGTGTTAATGGAAGCCCCAGGGTCAAACTGAGCTTTGAGTTTTGAATTGATTTTTTACACTTTTGTTTAAAAAAAAAAAAGGGTGTAATGACCTTTAAAGTACACTTGCTTTTGGGGATTAAAAAAAATACTGGGAATTCCTCGACTTTGCAACTAGTTTCAGTGCCTCATGAGATGAAATGGAAAACAATAACCCCGATTAGGTTGTTCTAAATGTGGGTTTGTTTCCCGTTAGGTTCAAAGTTCCCTTGCACCACCCATATCATCCCTGTGAAGAATGAGGAGGGCGTGGTCATGATGTTCATCCTGAACTTCGATCACATTCAGGAAGACGGCAGCAACGAGTCGCTGGAGAGGCTCAACCACACGTCCCCCAACAAAGCTGACCAACGTGAGTAAAGACAGAAAAAGGATGAAAGGTGCCATTTATAGTGGTTCCATTTATCCAGTCCTGTTGATAATATATGGATGTACAGTTGGTTGCAAAACTATCCCCTCTTTTTGTTTTACTTAGGTAATTAACCTACACCAAATACTTCAGATTACCTAAGTAAAAAAGAGGGGGAAACTTGGTTTTAAATAATTTTGAAAAATCTACTCAAGTCCATCCATCTTGAATGCTTGCCAGGTTTTATGATTCTTGTAAATGAGGCGCGACATCTCTATCTGGCCAAGCATTGACCTGCAATCTGGAGATGTCAAGTCTTCAGTTTGACTTGGCTCGCTTTGAACCTCAGCCAAATCAGTCCCAAGAACCAATATGGAAGAGGGTAGAACCACCCATTGACAAGACTCTGAACCTGCCCCGGGTCGCCCAGCCCAGTGGAGTCTGTGTAGATGGGCCATAGACTTAGAAAGTCCATACGTGGATCTTATTTAACTCATTTACGTGACAAGTTTTTTTCAGAGTTATTTTATGGAGATAAATTGGTCTCAAAGGCGTACTGTGTTGTATGCATACAATTAGAACCTCATGCGTATCACAAAATTCACAAATGCATAAACCATTTTTTCAAAAGTACACATTTCAAATTGTACAGTTGCGTACAAATTGTCAAATACGTGTGCAAAGCTTGACTGTGACTTTGCAACTTTCTTACGAGTCACAAAGGTAATGTTGCGTTCAAGGCTGGTGAAAAGCTGGGACATCTAAGTGTTACCAGAATTACTGGGTTATCGGGAAAATACACTTCCTGACTTGGCACAGTACCCCATAACCCATATATAAAAATACATATGCTTACATAGGCATTACTAGATTCCAAAAATGTTAATTTTGTGGCCTGAGCGGCTGAAATAAACTACTTTAAAAAGTAGGTTCTTCTCCCCGTGGAAAATCTATAAGGAGAAATATATACAATACCGAAAGATTATATTTTCCCAGTAGTAGAAGAACAACTTACCTATTTTGGGATATTTATTTCAGCTGTATACTCCACAAAAATAACATTTTCTTGTTGTGGAAAAACCACCAAAAATATATATATTTTTTTTTCGAGGAAGAATATAACCTAACCATTTTAACCAAAGTTTCGAGTCGCATTCAAAGGCAAGCTGAACCATGCACAGCAAGTGATTTGTGCACATTTTATTTGACAATTTGTAAGTGTATTCCTGCTTGCGCAATTTGGAATGTGTACATTTGACAAACGTGTTGGATAGATACTTTATTAATCCCAGGGGGAAATTTGAGGCATCCAGTAGCATGTTTTAATACAGAAAGAAACACATGTATGGAAGTAAATATGTGTCGCGAGGATTTGATTTTAAAATGCCACTGAAATTTAAATGTTTCATGTTTCTATTTAACTTTTCAGTGTTAAAATATATTCAGAATACGTTTTTATCCTAAAAAAAATCATTGTCATTATTTCTATATGTTTGAAATTTCATTTGCTATTTTCACTTCTAGCTAAAAATTCACATTATTTCAAAGTGATCACATTTTCAATAGCTGTTTTTCAGTTTAACTTTAAAGTGTTAAAAAATGCAGCATATTAAAACAAATTCAAACTTTCAACATTCAAACTCAATATTTTCAGTCTCCTGGGATTGAACAGGCTCTGTTTCACTGTCTGAAGTTCAGCATCTAAAAATTCATTGTAAAAAAAGGTAAGGTTACTTCAGGTCACAGACATTAGCAAAGGATGTCAGAATCCAAGCCCACATCCACTTTCTTAGTCATGTGACGTTTCGCTTGTCGCGTTGATTTTGAATTTAAACAGCATGTCATGGAAGCTAATGTTAACTCAACAGTGAGTTTAATGCTTTCATTTTTCTGTTTGTCTTTTTTATTTATTTATTTATTTTGCACATGAAATTCAATACTACATAAACCAAACTAAAGAAAAATGAAAGCATTAAACTCACCGTTGACTTGGCGTTAGCTTCCATGACCGCCTCGGACATGCTGTTTTCCTTCAAAATGAGCGCAACACGCGTAACGTCATGTGACTAAGAAAGCGAACGTGGGTGTTGGATTCTGACATCCTTTGCTAATGTCTGTGACCTGAAGTAACCCTGCCTTGTTACACTGAATTTTTAGACGCTGAATTTCAGACAGCGAAACGGAGCCAGTTGAATCTCGGAAGACTGAAAAAATTGAGCATGAATTTTGAAAGGTTGAGTTTTTTTTTTTTTTTAACATGCCGAATTTTTTAACACAGAAAAGTTGAACTGAAAAACAGCTATTGAAAATGTGATCACTTTGAAATAATAATGTGAATTTTTAGCTTTAAGTGAAAATAACAAATGAAATTTCAAACGTATAGAAATAATGACAATTTTTTTTTTAGGTTAAAAATGTATTCTGAATATATTTTAACACTGAAAAATTAAATGCAAACATACAACATTAAAATTTCAGTGGCATTTTTAATTCAAATTCTAGCAACGCATAGGGATGTGCGATATGGCATAAAATTAATATCACGATATGTATTGTGAAGGGTGGCGATAACGATATATATCGCAATATGTTTTTGGTATAAAACTTGCAATAGGAATTTTAAAAAAGCATAGGGTGTCCTTTTGCCATAATTTACTTTGAAAGCTGCTATACCACAAAATAATCTCAATTAAGAAAATTTCACTACTAGGTCCAGAGAGTTTTTAAATAATAATCAAATCAATTATTAGGCTTCTTTCTTGTAGTGCAAAACAGCGTAAAAGATATCAAATGTAGTTTTAGCCATATATTTTAAACAAAAGAATATGTTGTTAACTCTTAACAGTTTCCAGTCTTCTCACTTAAGAAATGAAGAGCAACAGAGCAGCAAGTGCACACTGAAAACACTTAACCCTCCAACCCTCTAGTGGGCGTCTCCTTCCGCTTTAAGGAGAGCTGACACAAAATGGCGACCAGTTTCCTCTGTTGCTTTGACCAGAGGGTCTCGCAGTAAAATCACTCAACACAGCGTTCTTTTCACAGATCAGAGAGCAGGTTTCTCTAAAGCTGACCAACGCTTACTTTAACTTTTGACGGGGAAAAAAAACAAACTTTCGATGGAACACAGCGTTTTGCGCATGCGTCCGAATACGGCAACACTATGGCAAGCTGGCCATAGTTAGCTTGTAGCTTAGCTACTTAGCTCTCGAATAAAATACTTTAACACCACTTACGCACAGTTTTCAACTAAAAAAAGTAAATATTAAATCGGACAACTCTGATTTTACATCAAACACAGCATTACTGCGGTTAGCCGGTAGAAGACAAATCTCTATTGTAAGCTAAATGTCTATCGTTTCTACCGTATACCGTATATATCGCGCATTCCTACAGACACATGTTTACTACCATACTCCTAAAATAATTTAAAAAAAGAAGCAAAATACACAAATACTACATTCATGATTAACCAATGTATGCATGTGTATACATACATACACATCTAAGCATACATATATACATATAAATGTATACACATATTTCATATGTACATGTAAACATACACATACATAAGTGTCCGTGGTGCCGCAGATTTACAAGGCTCTATTTTTACTGTACATGGAGGAGTTGAGCAGTCTGATGGCTTGAGGGACAAAGATTATTCATTTATGAATCTTGAAGTATGTTTGTGGGACTACTTTTGAGACGTATTTATCTCCATACATATTAAACAAGTTTTGTATTACTGGTACTAATAATCAAATGTTTTTGAAACCCACTCTACAAGTTTAGTTCTTCAGCAAACCTTGGGTTTTGTGAACATATCTTTGGCGCATATACCCCAGAGGATAAGAAGGAGGAAAGAGAACAGGACGATAAGTCCTGAACCATTACTTAGTGCCTTTATCTAGTCCCCACCTTCGTCAGGGAACCCTAATTTTAGTTGAGCTTATATCGCTACCTTTGCTACTTTCTTCAAGTATCTTCCTTTGATAGCACAGTGCTAAATCCTTATCAATGAACAGTTTGCACATTTGTCTCTGGTTAATGTAATCATAAGTGCAGCAGCAGGAAATCTTTGCTCGACAGCTCCTCTAGCATGTTGACACGAGCCTTTAGCAGACACTGATGTGTTTGCCTGCCATCATCCCAAAGGTCTGGCCCAATTATAGCTCATACCCTGCCAGGTTGGCCTGATGAACTACTTGAAGAGTGCGGCACAGCTCTCAGCTACCCTGAGCTGATGCGGTGTAATAGTGTACAATGCTGTTCCCCAGAGGTGCGCTCCTCCCCCTCTGAAGTCCGTCTCTTCTGTCTGTCGTTGGCATATAAAGCAGCAGCACGGAGGACCAGGGGTCACCTCGAGATGACAGTAATTGGACAGGCCTGTAACAAGCTGCACTGCCTCGTGGGATGCGTTGTGAAGGCAGGCAGGGTATTTGCTGAGTATGCAGCATAAGCACGAGTTCCACTTGGCCGTGATTTCCTACACAATCCGGTAAAACTAATATATTCAGTTATCAGATTGTGAATCAGTCCAATCCGGATGTGTCTCTGATGAGCCTACAATTTTCCACTTTTAAAATAAACTAATTGCTCCGTCTGAGCACAATGGCATTTCCACTCTGAAGCCTTCCTCTATAGATTCAAGTGTTCATTGCTGTCTCAGTATGTAGCTAGACATCCTTGGCCTCTGGACTCTTATTCCCTAATTTACACACTTGCACAAGATGGAGATAGAACACAAAAATGTATTACTTGATGTTAGTAATACTGTATTTTAGTGTATCTCTGCCAAGTATTCTCAGTGAAAATCCACAGAAAAATGAGGACTACAATATGCTACACCCCAAACATGTCTGAAACTGATGGTACACTACAAATCTAAATCTAAGTAATCTATACAGTTGCACATACAGATATTTACATCATCTGCATAAAATGACACAACCATTTGTCCTCATTAAATCAGTTTACAGTAGTCCCTCGAAACTTGACGGTTC